GCAGCAGCCGCACTTCCGTCGTCGTTGATGTCCTGGTCGTCGCCGTTATCATCGCTCGCAGGGGCTCGCAGATCACAGCAAGCCGGGCTCGCTTCAACGAGCCTGGTTGTTTGGCCAGAAAGGCCGGTCTCAAGGCACACACCATACGCATGCCCGTGCTTCCACAAACAGCTGCAAAGAAATAGTTCGCACCCATCTCTTGCAAAAGTGTGACAAGCAGGTTCATGAGCAGCATGTGCAATTTCGCTCGGAACATGTGTGTGGTCCCACAACCAAGGTTGAAGGACTTCCCTCATCACTGCATGTTTCCGTTGTGCCAAAATGGCATGGATTTTCCACAAAGCTGTAGCACCAGAGAGGTCGCCCTTCTCAAAGGGAAACCGCAACTTACGACCGTCAACCCAAACGGCGTAGTATGGAACTTGTGGCTTCTCTGGAACTTTGGGTAGGGAAAGTTCAGGAGTCGATTGAAGTAGAAAACGGAACTTGTTCAAGTAGTCGCGTGCCATGCCACCGGATGACGGAGCCATCGCTCGAGCACAGCCTTTTCTAAACGGCAAGCACTGTTGGCAGCCGCCCTACCCTACGACACCCAGCTTTGATCGCGAGGAGATCGCGCTTGAGCCAAAGCCTCTTCAGTAGCGCCTCGTTGGACTGGTTGTCTGTGTACCCACGGATAGCGACCTTGGAGGTCTTCTTAGCATCCCCTTCTGGGACCCAGAGTTTCACACGAACCAGGGTGGCCAGTAGCTCCAGTGCGGCTATGACCTTGTTCGGGTCCCCCTTAGCACCCACTCCTTCTTCACCTCTAGCGAGAACCAGGGGCCGTGGCAGCCATCCACTAGCTCCAGGAAGCCTCCGATCCAGGCCCATCCATTCTCGGCCTTAGCGTCGGTGTAGAAGGAGAGTGGCGCCGCTCCGTCCAGTAGCGAGGCCGGCTTCTGTAGACGGCCTCCCGCCTCCAGACGGTCAGCTAGCCACCCACAAAGGACACGGATCATCGTGGGTAGCGTCAGGTATCCCGGTTTCCCCTGGATAGCCGAGGACCAGGCATGTAGCGGACCGAGAAAAGGGCGCTCCCAGTCTAGCGCCATGGAAGCGAAACCCAGGCGCCCTAGCCCTTGCACTTCCCATCGCGGACTAGCTTCCGAAGCCACTCCACTAGCCAGTCGGTCCTCTTCTGGGATAGACCTAGCCTCCACGTGCAGCGTCTCCATCCCTAGCCACTCCACCCGGAAACCCCCCCTCGTCTTGGCCCACTTGAAGGGGTACCCAAGACTAGCGAGGAAGAGGTAACTAAGCGGGATCCCCATGCGTCCTCTAGCCCCTCGGCCTAAAGACTGGAGGTCGGCATAGAGTAGCATGTCTAGCGGGAACGATGGCCCTAGCAGGTGGTACGTGAGCCGAAGCCCACACGCCGCTATACGGGTCCACCAGTAGCTAGCGCAAGATAGCCCGAAGGTCCCCACCAGATTCACGTAGACCGTCTGGCTGTCGGGGTCCCCCGGTATAGCTTCTTCGGTGTCGATCTGACACCCCAGGTAGCCATGCTCTCCCTTCGCATGCTTGTAGCGCCTGTGGGCCTTAGCGATGTCGCCGACCACGGAGAAGGCCACCTCGTTAGCGTCGATGTGCTCTCGGAGTAGCTGTTTCTTCTCTCTAGCCCCCGGGGCCCGGATCTTGTCGCGGCACTTGATGCGGTGGTTGACCCGGACCCCGTGGGTAGCGTCGTGGATCATCCTCTTCTTTCCACTAGCCTCGTCTTCCACGATGACGGCTAGCGCAGCGATGGCTCTATGTTCACCGTAGCGGGCCTTGAACTTAGCCATGAGGCCTTCCGCGACGTCCTCCTCGAACTTTTCTCTAGCGAATTCCCGGTACTCCTCCACGGAGGAGTAGTTCGGGACCCAGGCTAGCGCGGCCGTCGGGTACAAAGTAGCCTCCTGCCGAGCTTCCTGTAGCCAGCAGTAACTCCATCCCATAGTCATGGCTGGTACAGCTCTCGGGCTACCTGCTTGGCGACGTCCTCCGCATCGTCCAGGTCTACCACTGCTAGCTCCAGAACCCCAAACCCCTGGCTGGAGAGGTGCCGGTGGGTGTGGTCTAGCGTGCGCCTACGTTCCTGCTGGACCGTAGCCTGCGCATCAAGCTCCGCCTCCACCTCCCAGCCCTGAAAGAGAACATCAGCCTCTTCGGGTGAAGGGACATTAGCTGGGGTGACCCACGAGGGTACCTCCCCGGAGGGAGCCCCTGCGGTATCGTCCTCCCCTAGCAACGTGGGAACCTCAGTTGGACACGAAGAACTTAGCGGGGGCGGGGAATCCCCAACCACAGTAGCGCAGTCGACGGCTGCAGCAGCTGCACCATCTGGCGTGGTTGGTGCCAGGGTAGCGTCGCTGTCCGACATGGCAGCGGACTCAAAGCAAGGCTAATGAGCCCGGCTAATTAGCCCTGTTCCCCTTCCTACCCGCACTCGAGAATTGCCCCCCAGTAGCTGGGGGCCTTTCAGCACAATGGCCACGGAGTAGCACACACTCCACCGGCCATGTGCAGTCACTCTAGCAAACAGACAGGCTTCGTTCTGTTTAGCTTCAGAGGAAAACCCCTTCGACGTTTTCTAGCGAAACACCTTCGATGTTTCCCACAGGGATACTAGCGCTAGCATACACTGTCGTACCTCGTCGTGCCTCGGCACGAGTGCGTTACCACACTCTCACTTCAGGCAAGAGCGATTTCGTTGAGATCACACCTCACCTCACCGGGCTTACTGCGTGCACCGTCCATTCTGGACTTGATGCGAGTGAACCTGTGTTGGTTTGGTGAATGGAATGCCAAATCGATTCAGTCTTCGATCGAATCTGCTTGGCAAGTGATCTTGAAGTCGGAGCCTAATCACATTTTCATTCATCCTGTCATTCCTGACGAGTGGCCCAGGAAGGCTGCTAATGCCTTCTGGCACTTTTGTGTTGAGGTCTGCCGTTGGCAAGATGACAAGGGTGAGGGATACTTTGTTACCATCATGTATCCTTCTCACTGCGGGTTTTGGCTCTCTCAGAGCAGTCGCTCACTGAAGTGGAGAAGGGGACTTTCATTCATCACTTTCAAGAACCGCGGTGAGCACCAGCATGGCGAGATCTCTTTTCTCACCAACTTGCCTGAGGGATCATTTGCTCCAGGGGGGCCGTTGTTGGTTTGAGTGTCTGGGGCTCCCTCCGAGAAAGGACATTGCTGAGGCACAGGTTCAGATGTTGGACCATCCTGGTTTGCACCAGGTGTGGAGGATTCCGGTTGCTTCTGCACTGTCAGCCCATCATCCTCTCCAGACCCTTCAAAATCTACAGGGAAGTAGCGGGCCCCAGTGAGGACCGCTGCTCCAACCTGTGGCCAAACCCCAGGAATGGGTTCGCAACTGACTCTCCCTACATTCCACATTTCTTCCGCCTGTTGCCACACCCATGTTGAGCATGATTCGCAGCACCACCCAAACGGTTTCTGCCTCAGGTGGTACGCCCTTTTTGCATAAGCTTCCAAAATTGGCAAACAGACCAAGGGCTGCACATTCTGGATAACATGTTTCTCTGCCACCCATAGTGCAGCACACCAGTCTTCGCTGGTTTGCATCAGCCGGTCAGTAGGCTGACTGCACAACTCACAAAACTGCTGAGGCCGAGGCGTCTCATCCCTGAGCCGCGGCCTTTGTTGCTGTTTTAAAAAGGCACCCACCTCAACCAGAATGGTCGTGGGGCTCTGGCTCTTGTGACTCAAAACTCGCCATGGTAGTTGGTAAGGGCTTTGTTGGAGAACCCAACCAGGAAGGCGCCACGGCGTTCACCAACCTAGTAAGGTTCCCTGCCCCGTTCCTCAATCCTCCTCTTTCTCCCCATCATTGCGGGAGAGCGGGTTGCTGCGGACCCTTCTGGGCTTCATGGGTCCAAACGTCTGTGTCGCTCCTGGAGACCCCAGGTCAGCTTTGAACGCATTCGAGGTTAAAGGAACAAACGAGCCAAGATTTCCAAAAGGATCCTCATTGCCATCTTCATCCATTTTAAGCTCCCTTTCCTCCCTCCTCGTTTGCAGGTAGGCTGACAGGGCTCCTTCCTGCGTAGCAGACAGCTCAACCCCCGCAACCTTCAGGAGGCCTTGGAGATCATGAACTTCCTTGGCTTCCGGCGGCTCAGCATTCTTGAGTTGCTCCTGCACCTGGGTCTGAACCTTCCCCAGGTTGTCTTCCGCCTTTTCTATGGCCTTAGATACGTCTGCCAGTTCCTTCAGGGCTGCCTCAAACTGGGCTTTAATCTTGTCAGCTCGCGCCTGCAGCCGCACCTTGCGCTCCACCAGGTTTCTGTGCGCCTGGGTGATCGACTTGTACGCCGAGAGGTACTTCTGCAAGGTGACTCGATTCCACACGCACGCAGAACCTTCTGGGCTTGCGGGTCGGCATCCTGCCAAAGACTGGCAACGGCATCTTCGTACTCCTGGCAACAGAGCAACGCACACTTTTCAAAGCACACTTGAGCCTACAGTCACGCACGTCGTACTGGTCGCGGAAAACAGCAAAAGGGGTTTCTGCAAAGTTTGTTACCCCCCTTGGAACTCAGACGATCCACTCGAGTGAGTTCCACTCCAAACGGCGCTTCTATGAGCTGTTAGCCCATCTCTCCAGAGAGAACTGAAGTTCACCGAAAAAGCACTCTGTACACACCACAGCTTCAAACTACTGATGTCGGGCCTCTTCTTGCGGAGGAAAGGAGATTTTGTTCTAGTCCCGATCATCGCTTACAGAGTAAAACAAGGACGTATGTGAGCTTTGGCATCTTGGGGCCCCTTTCTTGTTCTAGTCTAGAGCTCACATCTTTACCAAAAGCGTGGTGACCAAAACGGCTCTTTACAGACACTTGACTGCTGCTAGAAACAGGCTTACGTCCACAAAGCAACCTCGGCACTTACAGGCCAAGAAGTTAAAAGGAAAACTCTACGCTCAAGTCTCTCAGGTTTCACGTTCACGGCTTACACTGCTTGCAGGCTTTGAGCTGCTTGTTCACTGCAACCTGGCGATCGATCTTCTTGACATTGGATGGGAGGTGACTCATCCAACGAACCACGTTTCCACACGAAACCTTGTGGTAACTCTTGCCGCGCTTCGCCTCGCCGATGATGTAGACCTTGTCCACACCAAGATCACCACGAGGATCATGAGGAACATCCTGAGCCTCGTTCTCGACTTCGTTGTGCTCCTCCAGGTCCTCGCCGTCGTAGTAGTAGCTCTGGGTGTAGTCTTCGTTGGCTTGGCCTTCGTCGTCACTGCCGTGTGCACCTTCAAAAGGACAAAGGAGCCAACTCTCATCACCACTGCCACGCGCTGCTGAATTTGAAGGCTGATTCGTTCTCCAACTGGTATCTTCGCATGTGCCGCCGGGCTCGCCGTTGTTAGCGAAGGGGGTCTGATTGATGCCATCCTCGATGATTCCCAGCTCTCGGGAGAGCCACTGATGCACTCTGTCTCGCACTTGGTTCATGTTCTCGCAGGGAGCGGTGGACTCGCGATTCCAACGCCTCTTGGGCGCCATGTACACCACCAGTCCGATGACACACACCATCATCACAAAGAACATTGCGAAGTGAAGCTTCTGCGCACTCAGGCCGAACAGGAACTCAAACCCCGAAGTCGTACTGGAAGCATGGCCGCTCATCTGTGCAAACTGGCCGGTCACAACTCCCCCCTCGAGCAAAAGCGCTAGAGCTCTAAGGATTTGACCTGCTCCCATGTTGGTCGCGATTGGCGTGGCACTAACTTGATTCACCGTCACACTGTGGTTAATGCCGAGGCCCATGAGGCTCATGAGATGATTCATCCTGGTACGCGGATGTGGCTTCGTCTGCAAATCAGCTGGGCAATCTTTGGTTGGAATGGCCTTCGTTTCATAAACTCCTTCGTTGAGCGCTTTCTGCGCCCACAAGTACCCTAAGCTGATGTGTCGAGTTCTTCCTAGCCCTTGGCGTTGAAGGATACTTCGGGTAGCCGCATTGTCGACCATGTGCACCAACTTTACCGTGGCTTGGGAACCAACCAAAAACTGCAACATGTGCTTAAGGAATATTCCCTCCGAGAGTCCAAGCAAGGTAGCCATCAGCTCGGACTCGGCAGAACTGAGGCTGATCGTCTTCTGCACTTTGTTACCTGCGTGACACAGGTTGCCGTTGAGGAATATGCAGAACGAAGATATCGATCTCCGATCTGAGAAGGCTTGGCTTCCCCAATCTGCGTCAGTCACTACCTCCAACACATGGTGCGCTCCAAACGGCATGTTGGGGTCTTCGGGTTCATCAGGATCTACACCGTCCCACTTCTGCTTCAAGGTCTTCCCTGGCTTGGTTTGCTCTAACCTAATCGGAACAACAGGGTGCAACTTGAGGTACTTCACGACATGACGTAAAAGACCAAAGTCCTCAACGGTAGGGGAGCTATTCCTCGAAGACAACACCTTCACCATGTACTGCAAGTCCGGTCTCTCAGCACTCATGTACATGAGGATACCCACGCATCGCTTATAGAGGTGGAGGTGCTCGGAGTCTAAGCTCGCTCCTTGCCCTGGCGCGGGAATTTTGGGTGGACTTGGATTTTGCTTGCCGTGAGCTTTCTCCAAACCAAGGATTGATTGAAGCCTTTCTGCATACTTTGTATCCTGGGTCACCTCAATGGCGTCACCGAGCCCTTGGAACTTCTTCTTCAAGAAATGGGAACAGCCACCACCCAAGTCAACGGGGCCATCCACTTTCAACTTCAAGCCTTCAGCCTTGAGGTCACTGGCCAACTGCATGGGTGCACCCCTGGGTCCTAGAATTTGCATATCATCGACATGGCTGTTCAGCGCCAACTTTTGCTCTATGCAGAACAGAGAGGGGTTGCCGATGAAGCTGTTGAGGCCTTTGTTCTTTAGGATCCCGAGGAGGTGGGTGAACCAATCTTTTGCCCCTGCTCTCTGACCGGGTAGATTGTAAAGGAGTTCTACGTCGCCGATGTGGGTCTGGATGTACGTGGGCCGCCTCTGTCTCACTTGCAAGTAAGCGTCGGTAATGTCGACGCTCAGCAGCTCCAGTGAGCTGTTCCCTGCAGCCAAACACGCAAGTAGTTTGTGGCTACAGGACACCGAAGCAGGACTATACAGGTCCGTCAGCGAGGGCTCGAGAAACCGGTATTCTTTTGCAACAAGCCGTGCACGACGCAACCAACCATTCCTATATCTCCAGTCCAGCACATACTTGCATTGAAGACGCACTTTCCCTTCTCTATCTTGCTCTCCATTCATCGGTCTCAGCACTGTCATGCCAAGGAGGCGGTCGAGCTCCTTGAGCTCCATCTGCTTGTCGAGGTCAGCCAAAGCCTGAGCTTCGAGCTCTGGGGGTCCCTCTACATACTCACGACCTTCCCAGGGCATCCCTGCGTCACCTTTCTCACCGTCAGAAGTTTCAGGAACACCTTCTTCTTCACTTGCAAAGCCCTCGTCGCACTGTAGCTCCAAACTCTCTTCAGGGTCACACACACCACGATGTCATCTTCGTGTCCATGCGGCTGTTCTGCATCTACCACACGAACGGGAAACCACTCAACCCTTCCAACCTCCATGGCGGCTGGGATGAGCTCGTGTGAGCTGTTGCTGGCAGCTCCACTCAACCCATCTAAGATGCTCTCCCCGGGGCTGCCTGCAGGTGCTTCTGAAGTCGCCGAGGTTGGAGGATCACTGGCCGCTTCGTCACCGGGTGGTGCAGCAGAAGGTGCTGCATCAACAAGCAACGGAACCCGTACTCGGGGTCCCCGAGGAACACGCATGGTGACTACATCTTGTAAAGGATTCCAAGGAACACCGCGCATTGCCAGCAAGGCATCTGCTTGATATACTTCAGGAACTGTCCGTGCATACCCTATGCCCTTGCTGGAAGAGACGATGCTCAAAGAACCCATTGAGGAACGGCCGATGTACACACACTTTTCCCATGGAATCCCTTTCGTCTTCGGTTTGGGCAACAGTTGGCAAAAGACGACCGACCCAAACGCTGCAATCTTTGCATCAAACTTTCGCCCATGGACCAACTCGAACGAGGTGACCCCATCTGTGTGAACATGGTAACGCGTCAGTAAGAAGGCTGCGTGTCTGAAGCTCCACTGGTACAACGGGTGGCTCGATTTCAACTCGACTTTCGAATTGGCAGACACGGTGTGCAAGAGGCAAAGACCAAGGCGGCGAACTTTATCTATATAGCGCTCTGCTCTCAATCCCTGGTGTTCACTGGAGTCGGGGTTTGCCGTCTCAATCTCAGTCTTTAACCCCAACCGTGTCCTAGCCATCTGCACCATCTGCAAAAGCTTCTTCATCGAAGGCTCGCTGTCCCCTCTAAAGGTGACCTTTTCAAAGCCGAGGATCGAGGCCATCTTGACCAGCTCTTCCACGGCAGGCTTGTTGTCCTCAGCTGCTTTCGAACGAACCGGCACACAGACCACGTACTTTGTAGTGTGGCACACTGCCACCAACTGAGTCGTCAAGGGGTGCTCATCATTCTCAGTTTCTCCTGTCCTATTGAACATCCAGTCTACCGAGATGACCGGCACTTCTCTCTTCGGCTGGACCTCTGGATGCGGATCCTCTCTCGAAAGGGCAGCTTGGCAGCTCTCGCACCAATCGGCCCGAGGGAGGTGAGTCAGCTCGTGAAGCATAACGGTTTGGGCGTCGGGGCGTTGAGGAAGAGGGCCGTGATTGACATCAGGGGTGTACTCTGCTATGACTGCATCACTTGCTTGCACAGCTGACTTGAGCTTGTTGAGTGCAATCTCTTCCTTGTCACCTACCTTCACCACCTCGCCTTCCAATGGAACTTCTTGCATCTCCGGTCCGCCCACGGGCGCGCCTGGCTGTTGAACTCCATCATCTGCTTCTCCAGGTTCGGCAGCTTCTTCTTGAGACGCAGCAGGTAACCTGGGAACCAGAGGAGATTGAGGGTCAGCAACAACTTTTCCCAGGTCAGTGGCAGCCAAGGCGTTCTGAGTCAACAAGGTCACGATCCTAGTCGGCTGGCACCCTATATCCACCACAGGCTTCAACTCCCAATTCTCACCGCACTCGAAAATCTCAAACCTGTTCTCCCCTTTGTGCACCAACGTGGTACGAAGAGGCAGGATCTCGGGGTCATAAAGCTGGCTGGGGTCTGCAGTCACTGTAGAGTTCCACTGCACATGTGTGGGCGTTGATCCCGAAGTCACTTGCCAGCCTTGCCGCTTGAGTCCAGCTAAGAACTCATCGCTCACCTCAATCACCACGCGTACACAAGCTTCTTCGGTCCTCAGAATGCGCATGGTGGCCGCAACAGAATTTCGGGCAAAGTGGAGGGGGAACTCTTGCTCACCCTTGCACATCACCATGACGCCGTCTTCTGTAGCACTAGCTTTCGGATACCAGCCACCACGAAACAGCTTACCAGCGCATAGCAACGGTTGCCGCACATTTGCTAGCACAGCTCGATCTCGAAACACAATCTCCCGACCATCAAGCCCTTGCACCACGAAAGAAACATTGGCTCTCTGCGACATTTGCGGGATCGGCGTGCCTTGGGCATCCAAGAGCCGAGTAGTCTGCTTCTCCGCCACACCGACGGTGCTGAAGAGATGCGCTGGAAGCACAGTGACATCAGCACCTGAATCCAAGATGACTTCACAGGGCTCGGAAGGGTCCGTAGGGCAGCACACCGCACGAACTTCACAGTCGCATTCAGAACTGCACTCTCGGAAAAACTCATCTCCGCTGCTGTCACGATCAAGCTCGAAGCAAAGCGTGCTGGTGGAAGGAAGCTCGCACTCTAGCTCAAAGCACTCGACGCTTGCAAAGTCTACTTCTTCAAACTCAGCGCTAGAGTCACTGTACCAACCATCGCACGCACTGACTGCCCTGATGTACTCATAGGCTTCAGCAGGAATTTCGGATTCATCCCACCAGCCATACTCATCCCAAGCTTCTTCACCCTCGTAAAAGTCGAACTCCGAAACCAAAGCAGTGCTATGCCAAGCCCCAGTAGTGTCACCATCGTCGTCCGGAAGCTCCTCGATCAGAGGCATCGTGTCGAGCTCCATGCGGCAAACCTTGGCTGGGGAAGAGGTTGTTGTTGAGGGTGCTGTTGTTGAGGATGCCGTTCGGGTAGTACTTGAGGAAGCCCTAGTGCTCACAGAGGCATTATCATCTTCAACGTGGTTCACGCGGCGATCTCTGCACTCAGCTGCTCGGTGACCCATGCGACCACACACAAAGCAAGGACCCTTTACGGCTCCACCTTTCTTGCCCTGCTTGCCGCCTTCATGGGCCCACTTGCCCTTGTAGCCCTTGCCTTTGTCCTGGTTGCCTTTTCCGAAGCCACCGAACTGAAAGCCCTTGCCAAAACCAGGTTTGCCCTTGCCGGTCTGGTAGTACCCCTTGTAGCCCTTTAACCCCTTTCCTTTGTCGCCACGGCCCTTGCCCTTGGCGTCCTTTCCCTTTGCTTTGCCTTTCTCGACGCGGTCCACGTCCATTGGGGCAAGACCTTGTCCATCTCCTGGGTACGAGTTCTTATCGAGGCCTATGGCTTTCATGACATACTCCGTGCTCCAAGTTGTTGAAGTGCGCTCAAACTGCAGCAAGATGCCCCTCAGCTTCTGATAAGTTGTTGAATCATCTATCTGCAACTCCAAGTAGCGCTTCACATCTTGGGGTAGGCCACTGAGGAGGGTCCCTATCTTTAAATCGTCTGGGTAGGTCTTGGAGGAGGCCTTTTCGTACTCCGAGACCAGTTTTTCGAACGTGAGAGCATACTCTAAGACTGAACCGCCATCTCGAAGAGGTGGGAACTTGGTGAGGGCCTGTGCTAAAGCCAGCGTCCGGGGTCGGGACGATGGCTGCAATTCTTCTGCCAACTGCCGCCAGACCCTAAAGCCATCGCCACTTGCCACGGATCTCAAGATCTTCAAAGCACGGCCCTTCAAGTAGGAGGCCAGCACCGAATACAATCTCAAAGAACGCGCTCGCAAAGCCGGACTATAATCCTCAAAGGAAGCCCACATCGTTGCAGTCTCGGCTTGAACTGCCATGAAGTTCCGGAAGCTGAAGGACCAATCGGGCCAAAGAGCAACCTCCTCATCTAAGGTCTTAGCACTGAAAACCTCTGGGCTCTTGATCCACTTGCTCTCTTTCCAAGGACTGCCACCAGACGACCCACTGGCTGCAGCTAGCTGAGAAACCGCTTCTGCCAAACGCCCCAAGACGATCTCTGGGGTCACAGCTTGCGCCGAGGGCGGCGTAGCCGCGGGCGCTCCCACGGACGCGCCCCCTGGGCTCGCCCCTCCATCATCTCCAGCCGCAGGCTGAGGCTGGGCCGCCTCACCAGCCGCAGTAGCCATCCTTCAAGAAGGGCTCAAGGCTCAAACTACTTCCCAAGCAAGGAGGTACCTCACAACGAAGTTCTGGAAGCCACGAGCACTCGAGCACGCGACACGCGAAGAAAGTCCCCTGGACTATGCTGGCACAAGCCAGGGCTCAGGATCGCTGCGAGCACTTAGGCACACAACAACCCACTACACTTACGAGCTTGCACCTTCGCAAGCTCCGCTACCACAACAGAGCAACGCACACTTTTCAAAGCACACTTGAGCCTACAGTCACGCACGTCGTACTGGTCGTGGAAAACAGCAAAAGGGGTTTCTGCAAAGTTTGTTACCTGGGGAGTCATCTGAGCACCGGTCCATCCCACTCCTGGCGGGTAGTCCGCCTGCTTCTTTGGCCTGCGCGGCTGTTGCCATGCTGGTTCCCACCAGTCTTGCTCGTTCTGCACTTCCTGGCGAGCCCAGACCTGCCACTTGTTCCAGTCTTCTTGGCTGTTGCGCGCGGGGCTCTGGGAGTTCTGTGGCTGGCGCGGTGGTGTGTAGGGCCCGGGCCAGGCCGCACCACAGTGCCAACAGCATGGGTACCAGGCCTTTTCCGATTTCCACACCCAGCCCACTCCACATTGGGCACACTCCGTGTGGTGCTTTGGCATGGCACTAACAGTACCAAACCTGGCAACACCAGGTGCCCAACAGCTGGCGAGAAAGCCTACTGGTTAAACCAGTAAGCTGGTAACACCAGCAAAAGAGGCACCAAGTCGGACGACTGGTTGCCTATGGCGCTACCCCCTTGGTTTCGCGGGACAGCCCGCCTACGAGAAAACACAAGGTTGGGTTGAGGCCTCTTCGGAGCCCACACCTAGGTACGGCCAAAAAGAGCCTCGCCACGCCGGCAACGGACTTCACTTGAGCCAGAGCAGCTTGAGCCTGCTCGTTTGTTTCTCGGTCTTGTGCACTGAGTCGCGGCCGCCGAAACGGCAAGTTCGGTCTGGGCTGTGCTCTGACAGCAGAAGTGGCTTCCCCGAGCCAAGCCTGGGAGGAAATAGCCTTGACACCTGCAGCTTACACCCACAGTCGTGTTGACTAGGCGTGCTTGCCTACTGGCACTGTATACCCGGTCGCTTTCCAGGCAGGTGCTAAACTCAAAACTCCGCAGGGGAAAGGAGGTGAGAAAAGAAAGCCAGGCTTTGCTAGCTACAGGACCTACGCCGTCACTAGGAAGGTCTCAGGAGGTAAACCCCCTATGCCTCCCTTTGGAGCTGCAAAGCAGCGGCTAGGCCTCACTGTGCTGCTACTCAGCCCCTCAGCTTCAGTAGGGAGGAGAAGCCCCCCAAGGCCTTGGAGCGGAGGGCCTTCATCTCACCTTTTGCGAGAAGGACGCTGGGTGGTGACAAAGTGAGGTGGCCCTTGCATTCTCGCTCTTACTAACAAGGGCCAGAGCACCCATGCCGCAGCAGCTCTGGGCACTTGGCTACCTCCACCACCCAAAAAGCTGCAGGGTCCCAACCAAAAGCGTCTGCGAGTCAGGGCCGGCGCTGAGCCCTCTCAATTAAAGCGCGAGGGCAAACGCACCCCTTCAACTATGCACAAGGCGCAGGAGTCGACGCTCCCCTCAACAAGCGCGGGGACCACGCCGCACCAGCCAAGAAGCACATCCACTGTTGCTTGGGCCTGCAGCACAAGCAGACCCCCAGGTCTGGACACTCCTGGGTGCCTGCTGCCCAGAAACCAACAGAGGAGGCCCTAGCTCAGGACCCCCTTGTAGCAGTGGACAGGTCCCCCGAGGGCTGCACCCTTACCGGTGGGAACTGGCACAACGACATAAGGATAAAACCCCACTGCTTGGCACTGCAAAACGCCACGCAAAGGGCAGCAAAAGCCCGCAGCAGCTCCCGCTTACATCCATAAAACCTGTGAAAAGCACAGGGTTGGTCTCCCATATGAGGGCGTAACTGCGTAACCCTCAATTGGAGGACCAGAGCTCACAGGAAACTCACCCCAGAGGCCAAGAAGTGAATGTTCCTGCATGTCCAGCATGCAAGCTCTGAAAATAGCGGCACGCTCCTGCCCCACCGCCGCTTTAAAACAATCCTAAACCATCTCAAAATCCCAGCAGGGTCCACCTGGAAAGGCCTCCACCGCAAGGTGGGTCCCACGTCTGCCAAAATACTTGCCAGCACCACGCGTGCGACGCGGCGAAACCATGCCTCCATCTGTTCTCCTTCTCGTGTAAGGCATGATCCCAGGAACGCCAAGCATGTATGGCTGCACGCAAGCAGTGGCAAACGACTCGTGCCGTGGATTTTGAACTTGCAGTGAGTTTAGGGCACCTGAACAGGTGCTTTCTCAAGCTTGCCTGGAGGTAAGCCCCCACTGAAAACTGCCACTCGCTCCAGACCGCTCTCGCCGGCTTTGCCTGGGCCAGGGTGCCAGCTCCTTGCACCGGAGGCGAACCCCCGACAAGCCGTGGTTTTGGTCTGGGAGGCAGAAAGGAGGCCCCCCTAAGCTTGAGAGCCACTGTCTCCCCCCTTGTAGGGTGGGTCCGCGTCTGGCCTTGCGCTACCACCTCGGTGGATTGTTCCCCCGAGGGCTGAACCCTTATCGGTGGGAACTGGCAAGTTGGAAGTGATGGCTCGAAGAAGCACAGCTACAAAGCCTGGGATTCACCTGTTTGGGGTCTCTTCAGCACGCAGTTAGAGCCCAGGACTTGTTGCAGACAACTACATCTCCGACCGCTGCGGTCACTCGAGCCAGACCTTGAGCCAGCTGCTCGTTTGTTTCAAGGTTCCTCTTGGGTGATACTGGCGGAGGATTTTCTCCTGGTATCATCTCTTCAGATTCATCACTTCTCTCGCTTCTTCTTCTTGTGACTCCTTTTCCTCGACTGCTTGTGCTACTGCTTGATGATCCAACATGTCCTTCACCAGGATCTTCGTCTTTGTCTTGTTCATCATCATCACTTGGCGGATCTGATCCCGCTTCTTGACTTGGACTATAATCCTTCAACTCATCTTCTTGTTCTTGGCTTCTCTCTTTCCTTGGAACAAGTTCTGGCTTGTCACCAATCGCCATTTCGATTCCGCTGTGCGGCGGCAATCTCTTCGTGGATTTCCTTCTTACCAACGTATCTTGTACGTAGTTCCACGGTGTTCCTGTAGCTTCTGCTAACACTTCAACGTCGTACAGCGGTGTACACTGTCTCATCGTTCTGCACTTGATAATTCCTTGTCTTGTGCTAACCAGATTCAGGTTGCTCACTGAGTCCTTTCCAACGAAGATTCCTTTTCTCCATGCTTCACCTTTCTCTTTGACCTTTGGTACTGGCTTTGCCAACACGACACTTCCCCATGGCGCTAATGTTCCTTTGTATTCTCTGTCGAACAGCACTTCAAAAGGTGTTGATCCTTTTCTTACAACAAACCTGTTCAGCAGGAATGCTGCGTGCCTTGCTGCCCATGGATATAGTGTACTTTCCGACGTGATCTTCAGCTTCGCTTCCGATTCAACGCCGCACACTAGTGTCTTGGACAGGTTCCGAACTGTCTGAACCCATCTTTCAACTTGCAATCCTTGGTGTTCGTCCGGTGCTACATCTTGTATCTCCGTGTCGAGATTCTTCATCTTCCTTATTCCTTGCACCTTCTTTCTCAACGACACCATTGCTGGCTCTGTGTCGGTCCTCAAAATGACCTTCGAGTTCAACAGCATAAGCACTCTGCAAACTTCTTCGACAACATATGCCGTTGCTTCTTTTGTCGCTACTGGAATCACATGAACGAACTTTGTTGCTTCATCAACCATAACAAGTCCGATTGTCAACGCATCCTTGTTGTCCTTTGTCTTCTCTTCGTCTCGCGTTCCAGTGAACTTGAAATCCATTGAAACCAACGATGCTTCATTTCTTTTCTCTGACACATCGAAGTTATCTTCTCTTGACCTTGTTGCTTGACAACTCTCGCACCAATCAGCTTTTGGTAAATGTGTCAGTTCATGCTTCTTTCTCTCTTCTTCTGTTGGTTCTTGCGGTCTCTTTTCTCCTTTTGGTTCTCTCGTAAATTCCAGTTCTAATCCTTTGGAGATTTCAACCAACTCTTTCATCTTGTTCGCTGATACGGCTTGCTTCAACCGTTGCCATACTTGGGCCTTACTACCAGTCTTTCCTATCTTCAGGAATTCACACGCTGTCCTGAGCTTCTTGGGTGTACTTTCAGGTGTGAGCTCAATTCCTGCTACTACCATTGCTTCTTCCATCTTCTCTCCCAAACTTGGTAGTTGCTCTTCAATTTTCTTCCACTCTTTCATTTCCTCTTCTACTGGAGGCTCACTAGGAAACAAATTCTCCATGGCCTCTCTGCTTTCTTCTTCGACTTGTTCGGCAGTTTTCTTTGTGCTGCTTTTATCTTCTACTTTCTCCATTTCCACGTCCGCCTTTTCTTCTTCCTTCTTTTTCTTCTTCGTGGTTGTTCTTTCATACTCACCATATTCTTCAAGTCCTAAAGGCTTCCTTTCCAAGATCGTGATAACCACCGAATTCTCTTCAACCGAATCAATCACAATCTCTTCGCTGCCTTTCCACTCTTCAGCACACTCCACGAACTCCAGTTCGCTCCATACGATGTCTTCACCATCGTATCTCGATACCAAAGTAGTTCTGTACTTGAATGTCGTCACGTCATCATTCGTGGGATCGTAAGTTGTGTACTTGTCCCAATCAATCCTTGCTGGCTTCCCATCTGACATTAAAAACCATCCTTCATGATACTTCATCTTCTCAAAACCTTCTTCCATCTGTTTGATCAGCGTAAGCTTTCTCACTTGTGGTTCATCCTTTTCAACCTTCACTTGAGCTCTATAAATCTTGAGGTCTGTCACTGTTGGGTTTCTTGCAAACCTCACTGGTACCTTTGCAGATCCTTTCTTCAGAAACGCATTGAACTGGTCTAGAGGATCAATTCCCCATCCGACTTTCCACAACTTGCCTATTGCAAATAGTGGTTGTGTCACGTCTCCGAAGACTG